TGACCCATTGACAGATTATTTTGCTTGTGTTTCTGCTGTTGATTGGCAATGCATTCTGGAAAATTATTAACAGTATTTATGGGCTATTTTTTCAGATAAAGCAGATGTAGATCAGTGTTCTTCACGGCTCTCTGGAATGCCTGCTATGTTGCTGATTAGTAAATTGTGGTGAAACTGACTGTAGTCCAATGTAAACAGCTTCCCACAGAGCTGTGCTCCTGTTATTTTTCAATATTATGCTGATGTTATGCTTGTGGTTACAGCACAGGGTCACTTTCTTCTCACACAGATTTTGATAACTTCAGCTCAAATATAGTCTTGTAGAGTTAAAGACGAAATATACATTGAGTTCTTCTGACGAAAGTTTTATTTTGGAACTGGAATATATAATAATATATAGAAATTATTCCTTTTTGGTTGTGTACAGAACAAACCACTGTGTATAAAATAACTTAAAGTTTGGCATGAGAGTTAGTAATTTTGTCTTGGGCTGTACTGTAATGTTCAGGATGACATATACTGTCAAATTAAAAGTGAACCCAGACAGCATGATAATGATCTTGTGTCAGGGTTTATTCTGCTGTCATGGCTGGCTGCTCAAACTGTACAACATTACAAATAAAACACGTCAGTAAACACAGGAGACTAATGTTGCCACTGCTTAACACCAATACTGAACTGTGTTTGTACAGGATCCTGAACCTGCACAAGATCACTACACTCATTCAAACGGACAGTGCATTTAAAGGGACAGTTCACACAAAAATCATTGTTTACTCACACACTCAAGTGGTTGTAAACTTTTATGGGTTTCTAAACAAGATATTCTGAAGTGTGTTGGAAAAACCAAAACACTAACACCCACACACTGAAAATAAAATGATAATCTGAATGACAACCTAAAAAACGACTGTAAAACTACTGTAAACAACTAAAACTTTTCAAAGTTTAGTTTAATTTTGGTTCAGACTGTAACATTACACTTACTTATGTTTTACACAGCAGATGTCCTTCTAGCTGCTGCCCAGCAGTGGGAAATCCCCATACACACTCATTCTCACACACGCACACACACGCACACACACACACACACACACACACACACTCATACACTACGGCCAGTGTAGTTGATCAGTTCCCCTATAGCGCATGTGTTTGGACTGTGGGGGAAACCGGAGCGCCTGGAGGAAACCCACACCAACACGGGGAGAACATGCAAACTCCACACAGAAACACCAACTGACCGAGCCGGGACTCAAACCAGCGACCTTCTTGCTGTGAGTTTATTACAAAACTCTTTCTCTTATTGTTACCGTCTCTCTGACAGAATTAGGATGAGGATGATTTCTTCTGTAAGGATACTGAGTGGACATTCATGGGTGTGTATGTGCAAGAGAAATGTTGTTTACTTCTACTAAAATAGCAAGAAGATCAGTGTAATCGTTGAGCAGGAGCAGTGAGATCCGTGTGCTGATGACCTTTCCCTTCAGTCTTCACTCAGACACACAGAAACAGGTGCAGCTTCACAACACTCACATCTGCACACAGCTGGAGGAATCTGAGATATCAATGATCAGAACACACACACACACACACACACACACACTGACACATTCACATGCGTGCACTCGCACACACACATTTGCACACTTACATACACACACACACACTCAGTCAAGCACAAACGGACACATGCACTCACATGTTGGCGTGGGTTTCCTCCGGGTGCTCCGGTTTCCCCCACAGTCCAAACACATGCGCTATAGGGGAACTGGTCAATGAAACTGGCTGTAGTGTATGAGTGTGTGTGTGTGTGTTTGAATGTGAATGACTGTGTATGGGTGTTTCCCAGTACTGGGTTGCAGCTGGTGCAGCTAAAATATCAACTTCCATATAAACGGCGCTTTGAGTGAGTAAGCATTTGGGTACTGTGGAGTGGATTGTCTACACAACTCATTCAAACTAGTGTGTGTGTGTGTGTGTGTGTGTGCATGTGTGCAGGGGTGGATTTAACCAATAAGCATCTGCTTATGGCCCCAGGAAATCTGAGGGCCCCCAAATAAATACTTAGAAGTATAAATAATACCTATAACTTATATATGAAACAATTTTCTGTCATAGTTTGTATGATGAGTGTATAAGTATAATGTTTCATACATCGCAAATGTGTCCCCACCCTCAATCATGGAGCAGTCTAGCAGTCAAACTGGGTAAAGATTTAGCTTTAAAACAAAGTAGTTCATCTGTCATATTTAGTTGTGAATCCATTTTAAGAAAACAAATAGTTTAGAAAGTTTTACAAGAAGCTTTACATGTTGTTAGTGTTATTTTGCATTAAGATGAAATGTAGAAATGGCGATTGAGTGATTTAAGAATAAAAACAGCTAAATAAATCAACTAAAAATAAGTTAAAGTGTGCAAAAGGTGCATTTTAGAACTTTAGGGCCCCATAGCCGGAATTGCTTAGGGCCCCCAAATCACTAAATCACTAAATCCAACTAAATGTGTGTGTGTGTGAGTGTGTGTGTGTGTGTGTGTGTGTGTGTGTGTGTTCTTCAGACTTCTGCTGAGTGAAAGTGAGAGCTGTTTGTGTTTCTCACAGTTCAGTTTTTACAGTTCTCTAAAGCCTCGGCTGCAGACTAAACAGGCAGAAAAGAAAACAATCAGATTTTCCTGTGATTCAAGGCAAGATTATAGAGCAGAACTGACCGGACGATTACACGGAAACATCTGGAGCTCAACACACAGTATCTGACTCTCCTTCTGACTCTCACACAGAGAAAAACTGGCATGTAAACATCAGATGAGGGACACTGAGCTGAAGGGAAAATACAGCACTGTGGTGAACGCTGGAATCTCTGGAAACTGAGCCTTCTGTTTCATACTTATTCAAAACTGATGAACGATATTTCAGCATCGTAATAACAGGATGACGTCTCATATTCCAGAGCAAAACCCTCTGCTTTATTCATATGTCATAATATATCAACAACATTTAAATGGGTATACCACAAAATGTCAATTAAAGGAGACCCATTCTGCTCCTTTAACAAGCTGTAAACACGTCTCTGCTGTGTCTTGAGTGTGTGTGTGTGTGTGTGTGTGTGTGTGTGTGTGTGTGTGTGTGTGTGTGTGTGTGTGTGTGTGTGTGTGTGTGTGTGTGTGTGTGTGTGTGCGTGTGTGTGTGTGTGTGTGTGTGTGTGTGTGTGTGTGTGTGTGTGTGTTTGAGTTGAGAACAGCACACAGATAATGTTCTCCAGCTCTGAAACTGACCCTTTCAGGCTTTGATCCTAATTGTGGTGTTTTGGTGACTGTCACTTTAAATGCAAATGAGATTGTGCTTTTTTCAGAAGAGGGCGGAGCTACAGATGCATATGCATGAGCATAGTGACAGGTGTGCAACAGCAGTGTGTGTTTGTGCATGTGTGCTTTAGTGTGTGTGTGTGTGTGTGTGTGTGTGTGTGTGTGTGTGTGTGTGTGCTTGACGCTTGTGTCAGTCTATGTCTCTCCTGTCTCTGTTCATCTAGAACTCCACATCTATAATCCTCTTAGTCTATGCTGACATCATCTTCAGCAGCTCAAACACTCTGATGGCTAATGGACAGACGGCTGCTTCTCACTCAGGCCTGCTGGACATGCTAATGAGATGAAGAATAATGGGCGGGGCTTTCCTCCTCTGATGACAGGTACAGCAGGAGAATGTCCATCACAGTGTTTCTGCATCAAGTCTGATTATAATGAACACAGTTCACTCATGATGAGCATCAGAGGCTGCTGGAGACACACACACACACACCTGACACACACACTACTGTGTTTAACCCCATAAGTTTTTTAGATCCTCTTCACTGTTTCTGTTAATCTTACAGTGAATATGAGTAAGAGAGCGGTTCATTTGCATAATTATTCACTGCTTGTTTCTTCAGAAATGTTTTCCTCCAGATTTTCTGCTGTTTCTTCACATGCTCAAACTCATCAGGCTGTAAAACCAGTTTCTGTTGGCGAGATCATAACACATTTGATTTTGTAACTTAATTATGACGCAACGTGTGTTATTATTGTGAGAAGAGACTGGAGGACACGGAGAAGTGAAAGAAGAAGCAGTAATCCCGCTGGTTGTGGCTCTTTCTCCGGCTCCTCCTCTTCTCTAAAGGCGCCATAAACTCTGAAACTCCACCGCTGCTGCGCGCGCAGAGTCACTACTGCGAGTCGAGTCGCTCAAACGATTCATTTCATTGATTCGATTCAGTTAGGCGAAGTGCACTGAAATTGGCTGTTTCTGAGGGAAAAAATACATCTGTAAATACAAAGAGTGTGTTTTGTGTTAAATTGAAGACTATTTTTTTTCTAAACTGATTTCCCAGATAAAAGTGCTATAATAATAATAATAATAATAATGATAATAATAATAATAACAATAACAATAATAATAAAATAATACATAATAATAATAATAATAATACATACATACATAAATAATAATAATAATAAACAATAATAATAATATCAATAACAATAATAATAAAATAATAATAATAACAATAATAAAATAATAAAATAATACATAATAATAATAATAATAATAATACATAAATAATAATAATAATAATAAACTACATTAATAATAATAATAATAATAATAATGCATTTCATTTGTGCTTTTTTTAAACCCAAAGTGCTACAGTAAACGTAAACATAAAAATACAACAAAAATACAACAAAAATAATTTATTATTCATATTTTACAGAAATTTCTGTTCTTTATTTTAACATGAGAAATGTACTTTCTTAAGTATGAATATTTATGCCTTCATATTGAAAGGATACATTTATTGCATTAGAATGTGCACCTTTTTTCCTTAGAAAAATTTATAAATTAATAAATTATATGAAAGTATATGAAATAAATAATTAGACAGACTTTTAAAAGAAAGAAAGAAAGAAAGAGAGTCATTCCTCTGCTCCAGTGATTCACTCGCACCTTGCGTATCGAGTCATAAAGAAGATTCGGTTCTCTGAGCGTTCGGTTGGTCAGCGTGTGTGGAGTCGGTGTGTGTGTGTGTGTTTGTGTGTGTTGAGTGTGTGTGTGATCGGAGTCTCCGGTTGGTCAGTGCTGTACAGCGGCAGCAGATCTCCATCAATGCGGTGGCGGATCCCGCTGAATGCGCCCGGGGAAGCGCGCTGATCGGCGGCTCTGCTGGTGAGTGATCCACGCCTGGACGATTTATTTCGCAATGCTTTTTACCTTGAAATGCCTGCGCGAGGGACAAACGAGTTTCAGTTTTATTGCTTTCCGCTTCACGCCCCCAGCTGAAGTGAAGTTTGTCCAGATGAGGCTACTTATTTCAGCTCCAACCAAGCGATTTTATCTTGAACAGACATCTAATAGACCTCTAGTGCGGATATCTTCACTAAAACCATCTAAATTAGACTAAAATCGGACTATTCATCAAACAGACTTATTAAACAGACTTCAGATGTGTCGTTATTTATTCATGTGTAGGCTATTTGATGATAGTTTTGGCTTTTATACTAGATTTTCACTCACACACAGCCCAAACGTGTCCTTGTTTTAGCTAAGACATCTTTATGTAGACGTCTATTAGATGCTGGGCTGTTCTCTGTTTCTCAACACTGTGGTCTTCTGCTGTTAAACTCAAGATTATAGATCAGAAATGCTGCTCAGTGGAGTGATGTGACACTCAGTGCTCTGCATAACTGAGTATTCTGAAAATGAATATTGTGATCTCAGTGAATAAACTTTGGCTCAATTGAATAAAACAGATTTAGTAAACAGATATATTTATTAAAATAATAATTTAGTCACCAAACATCTCTAGAAATAGAAAGATAATATATTTAAATTCACACCAAATATTGCAAACAACATTTCTTACTGCACAATTTTATTTATCTTTTGTTTTTCTTCATTTATCATTTATTCATTCATTTTCAGCTTAGTCCCTTTATTAATCAGGGGTTGCCACAGTGGAATGAACCACCAACTATTCCAGCATATGTTTTACACAGCGGATGCCCTTCCAGCAACAACCCTACACTGGGAAACACCCATACACCATTCACACACACACACTACAGCCAATTTAGCTTATTTAGTTCACCTATAGCGCACGTGTTTGGACTTTCATATTGATCTTTTTTATCTAGCATATTCATTTGGGCTACTAATATTTGGAATGTGATCTTCAGTTATTTAGTTAGATTAGCTGCAGATTTGGCCGCAGTACAGACTAATCTCATGTATATGTACAATATTGTGGAGCATCCTATAGAAAATAATGATGTAAAAGAGAGATTTGAGAAGGGAAAGCTCAGATATGCTGGACACTGTATGCATGCTTTACTGAGGTAAAATATTTGAATGGCACAGGGCACACTGCGGGGACAAATACACTGGATAATAACTCTAGCTTAAACAACAAACGATGTGAGTAATAATAGTGTCTGAAACTGCCTCAGACTCTCGTTATGATTTAATTGTTTAACTGAAATTGGCTGTTTAATAATTCATAATTCACAAGTGTTCGTCTTCAGAGCGGCAGACGGAATCTCAGCTGCATTCATGTATTGATATTCAGGTTTATTGGTGAAGTGAAATTAACAAACACTGAAGGCTGCAGGTTCAGATGTAGAGTCATTATTAGTTTCTGTTTCTTTATTATTCACTTGAACAGTCACAGCACATTCATCTGTCTCTTTACGGTTAAACATTTTCTTTAAAAATTGTGTGTGTGTGTGTGTGTGTGTGTGTGTAGGTGTGTGTGTGTGTGTGTGTGTGTTTCTATGATAAATAATTATTCTGAAACAGAAGCAGTGTTTTACCAATAGAAGCATCTTTTTATCACTTTAATTCATTAATTGAATAAAACATTGATTTAAAAAAATGCAATCATTAATCATTAATCAATCATAGTGTTTTTGAACAGTAGACAGTTTTCTTGATATACCTTGATATGAGACATCGATGACACTCTAAACAATACTGGGTTGTTGTAACCCAACTACTGAGTTAAAAAGTATAGTTTAAATTGAACTGAATAATTAACCCCATTGGGTTTATTCATATTTGACCCAACATTGGGTTTTTTACATTTTTCGTCATTTCAGTTTTTCGAAAGTTCTTTCGGCTTAGTCCTTTATTAATCAGGGGTCTAACCCTAACCCTCACCCTAACTCTAACCGCCAACTATTCCAGCATACTGTATGTTTTACATAGTGGATGCTCTTCCAGCTGCAATCCAGTTCTGGGAAACACCCATACACACTCATTCACGCACACACTCATACACTACGGCCAGTGTAGTTGATCAGTTCCCCTATAGCGCATGTGTTTGGACTCTGGGGGAAACCGGAGCACCCGGTGGAAACCCACACTAACACGGGGAGAACATGCAAACTCCACACAGAAACACCAACTGACCCAGCCGGGACTCGAACCAAAGACCTTCTTGCTGTGAGGCCACAGTGCTGACCACTGAGCCAACATGTCGCTGTTTTATTGTTATTATTTATTATTATTGCGTTTATTTTTATGATTTTACTCTAGAATTAGCTGCAAATGTGGCAGAAGTAAATATATTTTTGTTTCTGATGTATAGGGATTTGAATTTTACATACATTCAGATGATTTGCTGAACGTTTCTGAATTATTTACTCATTTCGTCTCCTCGGAATTATACGGTTCTCTCTGCGTTCTGGATGATTTTGAGAGTTTAAGCTTCAAACAATCCATAAAGCAAACAGCATGTGTGTGCAACATTTGCTTTTTAAATAAATATCTTAAAATGTGAACAACTTATTAAATAATGTAAATAAGCTGTCCTTTAATAAGAATATGTCAATAACTCAATTTTGACAAAAATGTCAGATGGAACCTCATAACTGTAAGGTGACGATTTGTATTTGACTGAAAACTGAAGGAGGAACTCTCAATGCGATCTTTACGTTTGCTGAACTGTATAAAATCTGCGATCATGCACTGATATTCAGGAAAATGTCACTCCTGCTTGTGTGATATTACATTATAGTAATTATATTATAAATAAGCCCATTCAGGAATAGTTTCTGCCTGAATAATTTGATTTGAATTATAGACTTCTGACTGCATTCTAATAGGCTTTATCACACAGACAGTGCGTTTGGTCTGTCAGCACAGGATTCATATTCCAAGCATTTTTTATTTTTAGGGTGGTACGGTGGCTCAGTGGTAAACATTGTGGCCTGACAACAAGATGGTTACTGGTTTGAGTCTCGGCTGGGTCAGTTTGTGTTTCTGAGTTTGCATGTTCTCCCCGTGTTGGTGTGGGTTTCCTCCGGGTGCTCCGGTTTCCCCCACAGTCCAAACACATGCGCTATAGGGGAACTGATCAACTACACTGGCCGTAGTGTATGAATGTGTGCATGAGAATGAGTGTGTATGGGTGTTTCCCAGTGCTGGGTTGCAGCTGGAAGGGCATCCGCTGTCTTAAACATATGCTGGAATAGTTGGCGGTTCATTCCGCTGAGGCCACTCCTGATGAATAAAGGACTAAGCTGAAGGAGAGTGAGTGAATCAACTTGATTTAATTTGTGTTATAATTCAAAAGGAAAATAATGCAAAGTTTTGGAGGTGGTAAATGTACCCACAGTTCTAGAATCCTCCATAATATAGGGTTATCAGCTGACATATTTCAACGCTCTGACCTTCATCAACTCATCTTCCTCTTCTTCTGCAGATCTGACCTCTGACACCATGACAGCGGAGTTTAATAACCTGACGTCGCTCATCAGTAACGCGACCGACTCGCCCAACCAAACCTCAGGATGTTCGCTCACAAAAACCGGCTTCCAGTTCTACTACCTGCCCACGGTCTACATCCTGGTGTTCCTGACCGGCTTCATCGGCAACAGTCTGGCCATATGGATGTTCGTCTGCCACATGAGACCCTGGAGCAGCATCTCCGTCTACATGTTCAATCTGGCGCTGGCCGACTTCTGTTACGTGCTCTCGCTGCCCTTCCTCATCTACTACTACTTCAACAAGACCGACTGGATCTTCGGGGACGTCCTGTGCAGGCTGCAGAGATTCATCTTCCATGTTAATCTCTACGGGAGCATCTTGTTTCTAACATGCATCAGCGTGCACCGATATTCCGGCGTCGTGCATCCGCTGAAATCGTTGGGACGGCTGAAAAAGAAGAACGCGGTGCGCACTGTCGCCCTCGTGTGGTTCATCGTGGTAGCAGGAATTGCGCCGATTCTCTACTACTCCCGTACGAGTCGTAAAAAAGAACACACCACATGCTACGACACCACGAGTCAAGACGAGCTGCCTGGATATTTCATTTACAGCATGTGCTTGACGGTGTTCGGCTTCTGCATCCCCTTCATCATCATCCTCAGCTGTTACGGAGGAATCGTCAAGGCTTTAATATGTAATGATATGGACAATGCTCCGCTTAGGAAGAAGTCCATCTATCTGGTGATCATCGTGCTGACCGTATTCGCCGTCTCCTATCTGCCGTTCCACGTCATGAAGAACCTGAACATGAGAGCGCGGCTGTACTTCCAGAGTCCCGATATGTGTGCATTTAATGACCGCGTCTACGCCACATATCAGGTGACCCGCGGCCTGGCCAGCCTCAACAGCTGTGTCGACCCAATACTGTACTTTCTGGCCGGCGATACATTTCGGAGGAGACTTTCCAGAGCCACCAAGAAGTCCTCCAGGAAAGGAGATCATCCTCTGCAGTCTAAGAGTGAGGAGACGGCGCTCAACAGCCTGCCGGAGTCAGTGCAGAACGGTGAAAACCGCATGTGAGAGAACTCGAGCGCCACGCAGCATGACTTCTTCATTCACACCCATGCGTTAGAGATGGCTAAGATAGAATCACACTATCAGATTCAGTGGTTTCTCATGGGCACGTCTCAGCGAGGGGCACTTCACCTAAAACACCCAACAGCATCTGGCTGCAGCTTTATGATGCAAGCTGAGACTGCATATCTCAGCGATGCAATGTCAGACGCAATGCACTGAGTGAAGATAGTGACGTCACTGTTAGGGGTGTTAGGGGTTAGGTTAAAAAGCATTGCATGCAGCTCAGATTGCATCTGCACCAGCTCTGCATCCAGACCCCTCTCACAATATTAGGTATTTTCCATAATACTGTAGCAAAAACAAAGTTAATCCCAATTCACATTCTTATACTACACCCTAAAGCTATGTCTTATTTTGTGAAGGAAAAATATCTGCTTTTGAGCGTGTGACAGAAGCTTTGGGACACACTTCTTCCTCATCACCAGATCCATATGTTGCTTAGTCAATCCACACACCATCCACATTTCTGTCATGTTTAATGTCCTGCCTTATTGGAGAAGCAGCAGCAGGGTAATCTCCCGCTCACCAGTCTGTCATGCAGAGAAGTCTCCTCAGGTGTTGGAGAATTCTGCATTCAGTTGTTAATGTCCAAACACGTCTATACAGTAGCTCAGCATTGTGGTTGCAGATGAAATACAACCCAGAAAACACTAGATCTCTACTTGACGGTGGATCTCACGTGTCCATCACGTTTGTAGTTTATTTACACTTTTCACCTGCGTTTGTAGTTCTAAACGAATTCACGTCCAATGCGCAGTGCACTGTGGGTAATATGGACGCTTCTACACTTCACATTTTTACACCTTTGGCATACTCTTTAACATACTACGATTTGGGACGTACTCATTCTATTGTTGAATACTATTTAAGATGGATAGTATGTGAGTCAGGATGCAGCAGCCGTTTGTTTCTCAGAATACAGCGGTTCCTCGTTAATCGTAGGAGTTACGGTCCAGTCTGCAATAAAATCCGCAAAGTAGTCCCGGTTTATTTTTTACACTTATTATAGATGTTTTAGGGCGATGCAGGGGCGCAGTAGGTTGTGCTGTCGCCTCACAGCAAGAAGATCGCTGGTTTGAGCCTGGGCTGGGTCAGTTGGCATTTCTGTGTAGAGTTTGCATGTTCTCCCTGCATGTTTTCTCCGGGTGCTCCAGTTTCCCCCTACAGTCCAAACACATGCAACACAGGTGAATTTGGCTAGGCTAAGATGCCCGTAGTGTGTGTGAATGAGCGTTTATGGATGTTTCCCAGAGATGGTTTGCATCTGGAAGGGCATCCGCTGCATGAAGTGTGCTGGATAAGTTGCCGATTCATTCCGCTGTGGCGACCCCTGATTAATAAAGTCGAAAAGAAAATACTTTCACGATTTTTTCACATAGGCATTAACATTTTCACACTGTTCTCCCTCGTTTAAACTCTCGAGTAACTTCTACCTTCCTTTATCATGTCCAGAAGTCCAAGTTTTTGTGCGATGGTTAGCATCTTCTTGACTTTGGGTGCAACCGTGGGTGCTTTTGATGGTGCAGAATGTTTCATGGCATTATGTTGTGTGTTAATTTCCAAACAATCAGGATCACACTTCAGAGTCAGTGTGGATGAGCCCTGAGGAGGATGTGTTCCCAAAAAATGTCCATTTTGAATGCAATAGACTTCAGGTTTCTGATTCAAAGTATCATGCAGTGTGACCCTCCAGTGTGTTTACATGACCAAGGGTTCCACAATGAGTTTTGGATTGATCTTTATAAACTAAACCCAGAGATTTGGATTTGGATGGCAATTAAATCAGCACACAACCTCAGTAGTTTAGTAATGTAGCTGGGATTTTCATGCATGTTGTGAGGAATAACGACTGTAAAATCACCCACTACCCCCTGCAAATGGTGAAAATCCCCCACGTCCCTGTGAGAAACCATTACCATCCGAATAGTTCTGTAGAGTGTTGTAAATCGCGGTACTGTACTCTGGTCAGTGTTACTCCTGTAGAGCTCTGCAAGTGTTTCTCCCGTTTTAACAAATGTCTTGATCAAAGAGTCGAACACCATGAAGCAAATCAACCTATATGAGGAGAATAACACTAGAAATGTAGATCTGAAGCACATGTAGATGAAAACCAGACGATAGATCAAAGATACAGACAGTGAGCTGAACCACTTTAATGAGGGACTACAATCCCATGATGCACTGCCAATGACACAATCACGCTAAAACAGTGGAGAGAGACATAACAAGTCATTTAAACTTGTTAGTTTAATCTTTGGGGAATAACACACACACACACACACACACACACACACACTTTACTTAGCTATTTAAATGGAGATAATGCATAGACTTCTGTTGTGTTCATTCAGAGATTTCACATGTGTGACTGCATATATATGCAGATATTTCAGTATTTTGAAAGTGTTGTTAAACTTGATAATATCCTTGGCTGTGCTTCATGAGATCTGTACAATCTATTTAGTTGCTGCAGCTCTCTGATTGGTGGAATTCTCTGTACGGCATTATGGGTAATGTAGTTTTTTACACTCTAAACAAATCCTGGGTTACCATAACCTATTGGTGGGTCAAATATATAGGTAAATATTTCCAATTAAATTGAAATTTTACACTTTTTAACCCATTGTATTGGTTTGAATTTGACCCAATGTTGGGTTACAACCACCAGGCATGTTTTTAGAGTGTTGTAAAACAAATAAGTGTGATTAGATTCAGTGTTCAGCATAAGCAATCACCAACAGCCTCAGCGCTGCATCGGGTCCGTCTGTAGAGGATTATATCATTGTTAAAAATTAATTTCCCTACAGAGAGACGAATGGAGTCTTGCCGTCTGGGACTGGACTGTTGCGCACTGCTGCTTTCACAGTTTTACTCTAATGTGATTTCCACGAATAGACTGCAGAGCCGCCGAATGAACAATCGCTAACAATGATTTAACAGTCATTAATGTCACAGATAACACGAGCACTGGCGTTCCACTGTACGGCACATGTTCTGTCATGATCTCAGAACAGTTCAGATGCACTAAACATGTGGGAAAGGATTGATTGTACACTTGATGTGTGTGTGTGTGTGTGTGTGTGTGTGTGTGTGTGTGTGTTGATATGTATTCTACTGTTACTGTATAGATGTGTAGATATCAGCCCATGACTTATGAAGGGACTCTTATAGCCAAGTAGTGGACAAATACTGTATGTTTATAATGTATTTCTCTGTAATGATCTGTCCTATTTAAAGCTAAAACAAATACACACGTCTAAATAAAAATCATGTTTACGGAGTCTTCACACATGGTTTTCATTATTCAGTTATGTATTTTTGTGAAATGTCTACCTTAATAATTATACATGCATTATTCCCGCTGGACACTCCTAACATGTTGAGGTCAAAGGTCATGAGCACATATCAACACTGGGTTCTTGCCTCTTAGGTTACACAGATTTGCCTCCGCATGTAAACACATGAGCATTTTCAGTGGAATACAGTCGCTCTCAGTGTAATGCTTTGAGTAGTGTTGACCACAGATACTCTACTCTCCTGCCACACCACTGATTTGGTGAGTAGTGGTGCTCTTAATTGAGTATGATTGTTCAGTCCTCTGGTGTAACTCAGCAGCACTTCTCTGTGTTCAGCCCATTCCTCTGGTCTTCTGTCCTCCAGTTTCTTCACTCCCCTCTCGTTGAGTCTATAGGTATTGTGCATTGGTGCCAGACTCTCATCGCACACGTCTCCTGTTGTTTCCCCAAGACTCTCTTGTTTTTGACTCTCACAGGAAAGAAGCAGAAGGGAAGGGGATTGAGGGAGGAATAAATAACGGCGCATTTTCTGTTCCTCTCCGGCTTCTCCTAGCCACTCTTTGTAAGGGGAACAAAAGCGCAATGGTTCCTGATGCCGGATGGGCTTGGCAAGCGGCCCGGAGACTTACACTGGAGAAAAGATTTCATAAAACAAAGATCTGACTCCAGATCTCCAGCCATGGCAGAATCTGAATCAATACAGCAATGTTGGTGAGCAGCTGCAGGACAGACAGGGGCTTTCCTGGACCTCTGAGGGGTGTCTGTTCCAGAACAGCGGGAGGAAAGACTACACATGAAAATACCCCATAGTCACTTACAGTGCTGTTCTTGATCTTCACTAGTGAAGCGTACTGTACTCTATATATTATAGTATAAATTACTATTATTATACAACCAGTATTGACTGATAAACTCTACTAAATCCTGTAGTGTACCTTAGTTTTTACTGAAGTGTAGCGTATTGTAGCATAATAAACCATATTGATGTAGAAAACTACAGTAATGGGTCATTTGTTTATATTGCTGTTGTTAGTGTTGCCATAGCAACTGTATAATCACCACAACAGATCAGTCATTGTTACCATAGCAACTGTAGAATCACCACAGCAGATCAATTACTGTAGTTGTTGTGTTACCATAGCAACTGTTGAATTACAGTTCGCCACTCTCACTGGTGTAAAGACTGTAATAGTTGCAGTGTTGTTTTTTCCTCTTTTGTTGTTGTTTTGTTGTATTTTTTTATTACCATTTCAAATGTTTACTATAATTCTGCAGTATACTGTAGTATGAACACACACACACACACACACACACACACACTCATCACAAAGAAAACAAACAGCACAGGTGGTTAATTGTAGACAGTGTGTGTGCGTGTGTGTGTGTGTGTGTGTGTGTGTGTGTGTGTGTGTGTGTGTGTGTGTGTGTGTGTGTGTGTGTGTGTGTCAGAGAGTCAGCGTGCTTCTGCATGCTTATGTTTGTCATCCTGAACTGTGTTTGCAGGAGGGAGTTTCACAATGATCAGGCCTGCTGAAACACAACCCCTGCGTGTGTGTAAATGTGTGTGTGAGTGCGTGCGTGCATGTGTGTGTGTGTGTGAGCTCAAGATTGGAACTAAAGTGTATGAGTTTTTGTCCTATATTTGTGATGTTAGCAGTTGAACAAAAACACACAAGAGCTGCGTGTGTTAATGTGTGTGCACGTGTGATATTGATTCTATACATCATCAGGTCAGTTAATAAACTAATATTCGATATTTGAGAGATTCAATATTGTTCATTTTGCCGATGAAAGTGTTGATAAATATTTGAACAGCCACAGAAGAATCAGCTGTGTTTAGTTTATGAATGACTCTTTATTTTGAATGATTCAGTTTGTCATTCTTATGAAGAGCTGTTCACATCACTGCTGAATGATTCACTCATCTGAAGAATCAAATCAGGAAATGACTCTTTTTTTATTACATAAAAATATTAAAGCTCTATAAATGACTTTAAATATTATTTTAGTGGTAATTTCTGTCATGTGCTATATGCAGTTAATCACCACACTGTGTCATTAATTAGGTTAATCAATTAAAAAAAACGGTACATATCCAAAAATCACTCAATATAGATAAAAAAATCATCTAAAATCAATATAGGTCGTTTTTAAAATTAAATGCAAACATGGGCGGCACGGTGGCTCAGTGGTGTCGCACTGTGGCCTCACAGCAAGAAGGTCTCAGGTTTGAGTCTCGGCTGGGTCAGTTGGTGTTTCTGTGTGGAGTTTGCATGTTCTCCCCGTGTTGGTGTGGGTTTCCTTGAAAGGCATTATGTTGTCATAATCTCAGGCAGTGGGTCTCACTGTGTGTTTTACTGTGATAATGCTTTAATATTTATAGTATATTTTACTCTCTAATTAAACGTGCGCCGCTGCTTTTGGCCACAGATGGAGAACTGCCAGAGAATGGTGTAATATTAAAATGAACAGAGTTAATTAGCAGTCAGAGATGAAATATTGTCCTGGCATTTCTCAGATGCATTATCCTGTTATCCAATCATCAGCTAAACTATCGAAGACAAATCCTCACCTGTCCGTCAGAGTGACCCATTCTGCAGAAGCTGATCAATAGTGAATAATGTGCTTCACAAAGCTAGACGACGTTTATTTAGAGCCCGCTGACCTCAAAAACTGATGATGTCTCTGCTGAGAATAAATCAAAAACCTGTGCGCAGAATCATTCAGGCGGTCAGGGTTTGAGATGCACACGGCTGTATTTTGAGCTTCTAAATTCATTCATTCATTTAGTTTTGGCTAAGTATCTTTATAATCAGGAGTTCCACAGCGGAATGAACCGCCAACTATTCCAGCATATGTTAAACACAGTGGATGCCCTTCCTGCTGCAACCCATCTCTGGGAAACACCCATACACACTCCTTCACACTCATACACTACGGTCAGTGTAGTTGATCAGTTCCCCTATAGCGCATGTGTTTGGACTGTGGGGGAAACCGGAGCACCCGGAGGAAACCCACACCAACACGGGGAGAACATGCAAACTCCACACAGAAACACCAACTGACCCAGCCGAGACTCAAACCAGAGACCTTCTTACTGTGAGGCGATTGTGCTGCCCACTGCATTGCATTTTATCTCTGGGTTAATAATAAAGTGGGCGGGGCTTAATTTTGTCCATACCGATCTGATTGGATGGTTGTGGTTTGCTATTATTTACATAAAGAATAACCATGTGAGCTAGCAAAATAAACATTTTAGACTTTCAGATTACGAGTTGCATGAATTTAAGCACAATAATAAAGTTCACTGATAAAAGATCCAGATTAGAGGAGAACAGAACCTGGATTGTTGGGTTAATTTAGCTAATAAAATTCATGACAAATATCCCCTGTGGTTTTCAGATGTCTAGATTTAATTGTTAACACCTCTGTTTATTGTTAGTTGTTTGTTATAAGGTTTTTGTAGTGTCCTTTACAACACAAACCCTGATAATATATTAATTTAAGCTCTTAAATATGCTCATAGTCCGGTTGATGTGCTCAAATGGACCCTTATTTATAACTGAGATCAGAGAAACCGATGAAGCTGTAAACAGACCCAGACGGAAGCTCTGTGTTTATTCCTGCTCCTCTTTATTTATATCAGCGGTGTTTGTGCAGAGACTGTAGATTTGCATGTTCTGGGTAAACCTCTCAGCTGTTCTTTAACCCATGACGGTATTTATTTTGACCCACATGAGTGTATAAGAACCTGCATCTAAACAGAGAGCCATTGATTTCTGCTGCTCCACTTTTAGCTGAACTAGAAAAGATGGCTGTACTGTTTTCAGAGAGTTCCTCAGTGACGGCCGGAGCACATCTCATCACGAAGATTAAAACTACAATCGAAACTATTGATGCAATTCTCTGTGCGGCATTATGGGTAATGTAGTCAACATCTGTGGATCATCTGTAATGTTAATGTTTAATTAAAAATGATGAGCAAATCATTAAATAAATAAATAAATAAATAGGGCAGCACGGTGGCTCAGTGGTTAGCACTGTCACCTCACAGTAAGAAGGTCTCTGGTTTGAGTCTCGGCTGGGTCAGTTGGTGTTTCTGTGTGGAGTTTGCATGTTCTCCCCGTGTTGGCGTGGGTTTCCTCCGGGTGCTCCGGTTTCCCCCACAGTCCAAACACATGCGCTATAGAGGGATTGATGAACTAAACTGGCCGTAGTGTATGAGTGTGTGTGTGTGTGTGTGTGTGTGTTAATGAGTGTGTATGGGTGTTTCCCAGTATTGGGTCGTGGCTTGAAGGGCATCCATTGTGTAAAACATATGCTGAAATAGTTGGTAGTTCATTCCGCTGTGGTGACCCCTGATTGAAAAAAGGGACCAGGTCAAAAAATAAATAAATAAATAAATGAATGATTGAATAAATAATGAAATAAATAATTACAAATTATAAATAATAATGTTCATTGATTCATTCATTCATTCTCCTTCAGAATTACACATTTTCTGATAGTTTTGGGAATATGCTGAGTTAGAAGTAAGATGAGTTTTTATTAAGTAAAGCATTTTATTATAGATGCTTTTCACAATCAAATTATAAACATAATGCAAAAAACAATGCAAAAATTTTTAATTATTACTCAAAAAGCGCGGGCACCCCCGAACACCGCTACTATTGGACTATTCCACTGTTTTGCTTCACTGCGCATGTGCAGAACAGGCGATTGACCGCGTGCAGAGAGTAAACAGAGCTCGAATGATGATAAGCTACTCTGAAAACAGGAGGAAACTGAAGGAAAGCAAAACCACCAAAAGGTAACACACATGTTTTGACAGCATTTGCAAAAGAGTAACGTAAAGCACAACCGTGCCTCATTTATCCAGACCTTGTGGAAGTCTTCAATGATGTTGCAGAGAAACTAATTACTAATAAACAAATAAATAACTGCTAAACGTGCTGTTATAAAACAGAAGATAAATAGCTGGAATTAGCTTG